CCCCAAAACCCCAAAACCCCAAAACCCCTTTTATGATGTTAGAGTTGAATATTCCACTTTTTACCTTAGATACTTTTTCTTTCGGGCTTTATTGCCTTTGTTAATAGAGCGGCTTCTCTTTTCGAAGTTCTATAGGATGAAATATTCAAAATACCTTCTCAGCCTTTGTTAGAATCCTTTTATCGATCTGAGGTTGGTAGTGCTGCGCTGATCCCTCTTGAACCATTCCAGATACATTGTTGATAAGCATTCTATGGCGTATGAATAAGACCAGAATGGAGATTAATGTTTTATTGATAGAAAATAATCTCAACTATGATCTTAAAATCTTAAGCAATTCCAGAATTAGAGTATTCCATCAACCTTAAATGCAAGCGTTTCAAAACAAAAGGAAAAGATAAAACTTAATAATCTTACGTTTTATAACTCTGTCCATAACTTCTCAACTGTTTCGGATTCTGGTTTTCATCATACCTAATATATTGGGACTGTGACTTCTGCATGGGTGGCTTATAACCCTCCAACAAGGGGAGACATCTACAAATGACCCTACAAGACTACCTCTCTTCGATTTGTTTCTTTCTATACACAACATTAAACCTGGCTCTCATAAAAGGTGGCTTACCAGACCATGAACTTATTTTGTAGATTATGGACCAAGTTCTCATACATATAATTCTCCTGACTGATGTCTGCTAGACAATGAGTCATACAGAAAGTTACCTTGGCTGCAGAAGACGTCCTTGTTCTCCACAACTTCTTCATTGAGCTGCCGAGGCACGGAAATGTTTTTCTTAGAATTATGGCTTGTTAAAGGCTATTTTGGGGCTTGAGAGAAGGGCCTTACACGGTATTTTAGGTTCTGCATGGTGTTTGGAGTCTGATTTTGGGAGAATGGCACGCTCTTACGGAGATCTGAGCTCATGCCAGTCTTGTGCTTTGGAAGCTGTGGGGTGTGAGACTTGGAAGTTGAGGGGATTTAGTGAAATTTACCTCAGGGATTATGAAAGAACCGGAAATTCTGTTGCTACTTTCTGCCTTTAGAGTCATAGTATCGTCGTTGGAGTTCGTATAATCTTGTTCTCTGATGGTATCGTCGCTATCATTATATTCGTTAGTTGTATCTTGAGCATCTTCATGCTTGATTTCAGCTGAAGAATCATTCTCAATATTACTCTGGCTGTCATCCATTTTCTGCACAAAAGTGAGGCGTTGACCGATCTTAATATCAGGCAGCTCAAGTATCTTCATATTAGAAAGAGCCTCGTCTGTATTTTGCAACAGAAGTTGGTGCTTGAGGATGATCTTCTCCGCTACTTTCATAATATCATCATATTTCTTATCAATCTCGTTCTTTTTGTTAGCTTCCTGAATTCCTTTAATAACAGATTCAGAGGCATGTAGCATGTTATTGTAATCAATCAAGATTTCATGAAGCTTCAAATCCTTAGTTTGAGCAACTGAATTAAGGTCTCTCAAAGCATTGAACAAGCTGTTATCCAGCTATAAATATCAGTAGAGAGGAAGTACCTGCAGCTTGAGAACTTCATATTCTGACTTAATGCTCATAAGTTTCGTGCTGTGCACTGAGCTCAGAGTCTTTCTCATATTTACTATCTGTTCTTTAACCAAACTACTCTGTAAATTATGCAAGATCTTTTCTAAATTAGCTTCAGTATTCTGAAGGATCCTCATCTTCATATTCCTAGGTGAACTCTCTTTTGAACTTGTTAGGAGCACCCTAGGAGGCTCTGATGAGGAAGGCTCATTACTCTAGAAATTAGGAGATGGAATACATTCGAGCTTTCTTGTTGGAACACAATCTTCTTGTCAAAAGAATTTAGCTGCATTGCATTGAACAACTTGTTCATATCTGCAGGAGACATTGTCAAGTCTCCATTCGTCTTACCTAGAGGTTAGGAGTTGAAATTTACTTCCAAGCGACTGGTTCTGTTGCTTCCAGCTCTTAAATATCTGATGAGAGTTCTCCTGATTGTTCAGGATCCTATTCATTAGACCTGAATCGTTTATATTTTTGGAGTCCTTCCTACTGTGATTTCCCGGAGCCATATCCAAAGTCTCTAATAAGGAAGGGCTTCGAATATGCGGACTTGAGATTCCACTTGAAAAAGTCTGGGCATCCTTATATTCAGTCAGATAGTTCTGGAAATCATTTGTATTGTTCTTTGGATCAGAAACCCACTGCAAGTTCTCCACCTTGATCAATTCATTTTCTGTCTTAGATTGGTTCTGAACACAAAAATTTCTGGTTCTTGAGTTTACCCTGTGATGGGCATTCTTAGAAGAAGGAGGAATATTAACTTCAGGACTTGCACATTCATTTTTGAAAGATTTAACCAGCCCCAAGTGATTAGAATGGTATTGTTTCACAAGTTTCGCATCAATAGGAGGATTATCCTTCAACAAATTAGTGTTATAGGCTTGCTCATCTCCTAATTCAGGGATAAAATTATGGCTTTTGACTCTCTTAGATCCTTTTGCATCACCTACAATTTACAATCAGAGTTACCATAATTATTTAGATTTCTGATACTTCATCTTAATCTGGGAAATGCTTTCCTTGATCTCTTCATGAAGGTTATCCATTGGAATTGAAGTCAGATCTGCTTCTAAAAATGTATTAAGTTAAGAAGACCAAAATAAAAGCGTACCATTTCCGACTTCAAGGGATGAAGAACTTTTGTGGTTTGATAAGTTCTCTAAATATTAAGAATTCTAGCATTGAAGTACCCATCGAGTCTGTGTCAATATGAGGTGTATAGCTCGCTTTCTCAGTCGCTATATAGCTTGAGTTGTTCTGAATGTTATAATAATCTTCTGTTCTATCCTCCATTTTTAAATTTAAATTTTCAATTTTTGCCTCTAAAACTGGGGTTTTGGGGTTTTGGGGTTTTGGGGTTTTGGGG